TCGATTTCTAGCAAGGGAACCCAGCTGTTGGGCTTCCTTACCTTCCAGTTGCTGAGCATCTGCCCCATTATCCCAGCATCGCAGCAGCCAGGCAGTGATCCGCTCACCCGGCTGGAGGCAATAGTCTTTCCACAGATCTCGCAGTTCTGATGACGTCAGGGACTGGGTAGTTTCTGCCTCCTGTTTCAGTTCTGTTATTCCCTCTTCTGATCCCTTTGCTGAAGGACCAGCTTCTTCCTCTTCTCTCTCCTCCCTTCTTAATCGAGGGTATGGGCCTGTTGTTCTCCTTGTCCACTGTTTCTTCTTTACTACTGGGGAAATCTCTGTTGTTGTTGTTATTGTTTGAGTTCCCATGTCAACCACAGTCCTTTGAAAGTGCTGAACTGCAGCTCGGTAAGCACAGGCCAGGCCCCAGTAAGGTGCTAGAAGTTTCTGGTTCTCATTGGGATAGGCAAGACACCCCTCTATCAGGTGATGTGTCAATTTTGTGGGGTTGCTTGCCCGTTCAGGGGTGAGATCCCAGGCTACAGGAGGTGATAACCGTCCTAGAAATCTGCCCAAATCCTTCCACTCTCCCTGCCACCCAGGAACAGGCCGCCTCAGAGCACATTTTGGCACCGATTCACTCAAAATTTGCGTTCTCTTACACCAAAAGCATAGCGAGTTCTACACAACCCACAACAGGCGAACAGCATTAATAAAGAGTATCAACGAGCTAACATAAGGATGACTGAGTACCTCGGGAGCCTGCAAAACAAAACCACTCATGATGTTCCCGATTCCTTGCAGCATGTTCCCGAGCTTAACAAAATAAAGATAAGCAGCGTAATAAACAAGCCCGTGACCAGTACAAGAGCTTGCTGCTTAATAACTACTATAGCTACAGCACATTTAATATAAAACTGCCGTTGTTTGCCCCACGTTGGGCGCCAGAATAGACTGAGATGGTTTGACTCTGGCTAAATGCCAGGTATCCACCAAGTCGCTCTATCATTTCTTCCCCTCCCCACCCTTTCCCCTTGTTTTCTCAATAGGGCAAAGAGGGGAAAGAAGATAAACTAACCCTTGTGGGTGAAACAAAAGCAGTTTTAATATAAGCAAAGCAAAGCAAAAGTCTGCGCGCGGAAGCAAAAGCAAACAGATTTATTCTCTACTTCCCATGGACAGGTGATGTCGAGCCTTCTCAGGAAGCAGGGCTCCAATACGCGTAGTGGTTACCTTGGAGGATCAAGGGTGACCCCACCCCCTTCCTCCTTTCTCCCAGCTTTATACTGAGCAGACGTCATATGGTATGGAATATCCCTTTGGTCGGTTTGGGTCAGCTGTCCTGGCTGTGTCCCCTCCCAAGATCTTGCCCACCCCGTCCCACTGGGGAAAAATATCAGAAAGAGCCTTGGTGCTGTGTAAGCACTGCTCAGCAGTAGCCACACCACCAGGGTGCTATCAACACTCTGCCAGCTCCCAGCATAAAACAGCACCGTGAGGGCTGCTGTAGGGGAAAACCAATCCCAGTTCAGCCAGACCCAGTACAGGGATTTAGATCATGTCTCTTATAAACTTAGTATGAACTGACATTGTTTAGATACCAGGGATCTCTATGTTATACTGAAATTTGCTGTGTCAGATCCAGCAGCATGTCACCCCCTAGTGAAAGGTGCTGCCCTGCTCTGCAAAATCCCTCCATCAGATGGTGTGGTGCACCACAGCAGACTGCAAAGCTGTGGTGTCAAGATTCCCATGTCACAGGCACCACAACTCACCTGAGGTGCAGCCATGTGCCAGCACCCCCAGAGCTCCCGCCTGGTTTGATGCTCATGGTGCTGAGGGAAGGAGCATCAGGGAGCAAGAGTGTTGGAGAAGGGTGACAGCCAGAAGGGGTGATGAGTGACAGATGATCAGGTTGTGAGTCTGCCTGTGCCATGGACAGCCCTCTGTGGCACAGGCATCTCCCTGTGTATGTGCCAGGGGTGATTTCCTTTAGCTCTGAGTTGGCTTCAAAGGGAGAGGGTGAAACGTGCTTGACTCTCAGGCCCTCCCATCCACCTGGCTCTTGTTGTGCTCCCCTTACCATCAGCTTCCCTGTCCAGTTCAGACTCCATCCCTGGGTGTCTTCAGCAGCTTGGTCTTACTCTTGGCTTCTCAGCCCATTCTTGTCACTCCTCCACGGAATTTCTCAGCCCTGTCAGACCCAGGCTGCCAGGTAAATCACAGCAGTCTATGGAGACCCTCACTGGGCTCTTCTTTATCAAGGACTTGATCTGGCTGGTCTTCTCTGTGCTATGGCCGGGCTGTTCATAGCCTGCTTTTCTTTAAACCATTTCTTTTAATAAATTTCCCAGACCTGTCCTACCTGCTTTAAGATCTCTTCTTGGCTTAGCTGTGTTTGATTGAACAGGTTCACATCTGTGCAAGATACCGGGAGAAGGAACCGTTGCATCATCCCTCTGCTTTCTGCTCCAGAAACAGGGCAGCAAATGTGACAGTGCTCAGCTCTGGTAGCTTCAGCACATGGGCTGTTTTGCTCAGCAAAGGCTAAATCTGCAGGAAAATGAGTTTTTCTCTAGGTTCCTCCCACATCTCTGGGCTTGCTGAAACAGACAAGAATAACAGAGGGAATGCAAAATGACCTTAATGTCTCTTGTCCAATTTCCCTGCCTGGCAGGTCTGTCCCACCAGGAAAGCAATCCAGAGATACAAGAAACAATTCCTGGCATTGTGTCCGGGGGTTCAGCTGAAATACTCTAACTCTTCCATGTGGAGCTTTCTGCTCTGGGAACAGGGAGCTGGGACACAGCTAGTCTTACTGTGCTTTCCATACCAAAGTGCCCACAAGAGGCTGCCACGAGATGGGCTGATGTGATGACCTTGGCATGGTCAGGTGAATGAAGTTAGAGAAATTTTGAAAATTCCTGGAAAAGGCCTTTTGGGGTTTGGTTTTGGTTTTGTTTGGTTTTGATGTGGTTTTTTTTTCTCTCACTGAATAGTTTATCTTGGGGCCAGGCCAGGCTCTTCTGATTGACAGAGCAATCTCTGTTTTTTTTTAATATGAACAATGTAGTTACTCAGTCCTGCTTTCTCCAAGCTGCTGGGAAGCACCAGCTGTCATTCAAACCTGGGCCAACCCTCCCTCACTGCTGGCCTACAGGCACTGGTGGTGACACAGCTCTGGTGTGGTGGCACCCAAAACCACTACCTCTCTTTGGGGAGGGCACAGGGTGTCTGATGTCCCCTGGAAGACTGGTGGCAGGACAGTGTGTCCCACCAGCCAGCAGTGCCACTCCTGGGAGGAGAGGCAGCAGCAGAGCACTGGGGAAACAGGGTTTTGGTGTTGGAGACTGAGGCATCTTCCTACATGCTCCTGACCATCTATGGGTGATGCTGGGTGACTGTGTCAGTAGATGAAGTCCCAGGCTGACTTGAGCAGTCTGTAGGTGTTCACATGTGAATCCTGACTCTGCAGAGGACACATGGTGGCTGCAGCCATGAGGTTGTCTCCTGATAACCACATTCAGGCAGATGCTGTGAGCCTCTGCTGCTGCATTCTCTGAGGGAGAGCAAGGTCTGGGGGGGGACCAGCTGCATGTCTGTGGCTTAGTGCATGCATGCTGCTGCCTGGCATGCGAACTGGACAGCACGGCACAGCCCGCCCCTGTGTACTGCACTGCTGCCCAGAACAGTGCTGCATCCAGAGTGGGCTGGTCCCCATCCAGCACAGGTTACCAGACCCTACCCAGGAATGGTGGATCGAGGCTTGGTTAAACCCACACCAGGAGCTGCAAAAATAACAGATGCCAAGTTCTGGTGCTCCCCGTCACTTAATTCATTAAGTGCACTTGGTGCTAATCCTTTCTTTCAGCCAAAACTGAGGCTGTGCAGGGAATCACTTCCAGTGGGGTACAAAAGTGTCAACCCAGAAATGCAGCAGTCCCCAGGAAACCTAAAAATGGCAAGAGGAGCGCGGTTGGGGAGATGCAGCAGATTTTTCCCTTGTGGGAGGGCTGTCTTGTTTGATCTTCCCAGCTCTGAGATGCCATCGTGTTTTCCACTTTATTGGTCCTCTTGAGGACGTGCTCTGTTTGCTTTGGAGGGGGCCTGGCACTTTCCACAAAGTTACTTTTCTTTCCTCCAGATTGTTTTTCCCTCCAGGCCAGGGAGCAGGAAGTCTGGTGGCTGCCTGGAGGCTCACAGCGGGTAGGAAGCTAAAATAAGCTGTCCAGGGTGGTGGTGGTTTTGTTTGCTTGCTCAGGGACATGCCTGGGTCTGCAGATTGAGAATCTGTGTTGGTAGGAAATGGCAGTCCCTCGTGTCAAGCCCCACCTTCCCATCCCTCCAGCTGATGGGGTCTCAGCACCAGTTTAAATACAGGGAGTCATGAGGCTTAAATGAAAGTGTGATAGATGCTGCAAGGCCGTTGATTAGAATCCATCTAGCAATTGCTCTGTCCTATTACAAATTCCACTCTGCTGCTGCTGCTGAAGTCAGCTATCACAGGAATGGCTAAGGGCAGCATGTAACAGTCATAAACACGGCCATAAACTACGCAGACTTTCATCTTATTAATGGAATGACTGTAAAACCATATTTCTTTGGGGAACATATTGGTGGATACTTGAAACCTGAAGCAGGACCCTAAAAATAAGCTCTGCCTCTCTCCTGGCAGAGTATCCTACCCGGATGGAGCAGTATTTGCTGTCTGCTTTCAGGCTGCTGGAGCTTTTCTAATGTTGAATTTCCTGTCCCACCTGCATGTTTGTGTTTCCTTTGGCCCAAGTGTAGCTCCTTCCTGCTCTCTCAGGTTGTCCTGCCCGGTATATCTGATCTAACCTGCCATTGTTTTTATTGCTTTACAGAAGAAAATTTCTACCCACACTGTGCCATGGGTTGTGGAATCAGCCCCGGGGACTCTGTGCAGCAGGACAAACCTGTTCTGGGGGAGGGCTGGATTTGGGGGGTGGCAGTGCATTCACCACCAGCAGCGTGATGGCTGTGGTTCTCCTAGGAGAGCTGAGATCCCATGGCAGGAGATCCCATGGCTATGTGCTGGGCTTCCTTCAAAGCAAGGCAGCGA